TTGGATGAAGAATTTATCATACAAATCCGAAATGAAACATTCATTGTTACTAATTTTTATGCAAATATTTGCTATCCAAATTTGAATATTAATTAATCAACTAATTAATTAATTAATGATAACAACGAAAATTTTATTAAAAAACGAAAACAAAGCTAAACAAATTGAAAAACAACAACAAAAAAAAAATCTATTTGTTACTTTAATTCATTTCTTACAATTTTAGTAAAATCTAATTATTTCTCCGTTAATTGGAATAAAAACTTCGTTTTTTTTCCTTTTTATAAATCTAAAAGTTCAAAAACAAAAAAAAAAGAAAAAATTGCAATAAAATGTTTGAAACTTTTTATACTTTTAAAAATTTCAATACCTTATGAATTACTTATATGTGTCTCTTTTTATTTTCATTATTTTATTATTCACTTTGCACTTTCGTGTTATTGAGTAATTAAATTCATTAAAAAATTCAATTTTAAAACATAAACAATGGTTGTTTCTGAATTTATAAAACGAATAATAACTAATTATGATTTTAATTACATTTTTTTATTTTTAATAATTACAGTTTTTAATTATAATTAAAATAAAAATTTTAATTTATTGAAAAATTTTTATAAAATGATTGTTCAGCTATTTCGTCGTATCAATTTATTGTTTATATTATTATTACGATATTAATTAATAATACATAAATTAAAAAAACACTTAATGACTAATTATAATTATTATACCTGTATTTACTTACATTTAAATATATTTCTAATTATTTTAAGTAATAAGTTATTACTAAAAAAAGACATATAAGTGCTCAATCATTTTTAGAAGTAAACAAAAGAAAGAAAATTAAGGAATATTTTCAGAGTACCTAAGTAGCTTATTTTAAAAATTATTAGTAATTTATTTTTCACTTAATAAAGATCAACAAAAGTTTTTAATAAATAAAAATTATAAAATTTGATTAAAAAGAAAAAAAAAAAGAAATGAAAGAGGATAATATGAAAGTTAATCAAATAATTATCATTCAGGAAGATTGAATTCGGAAAAGTTTTTCATACTTTATCAGTACACTGTACCCAAGACAATTCAGGCCATTAACTTCAACCCTAGGCTATAAAAATAAATTACAAAATTAAATTTGATAGAAATTAAATGTTATAAATTAAATATTTCGACTGTACAGACTGATGGAATAAGCAACAAAATTAATAAATAATTGCAATAAATTTTGATTTATTCCAAGTTTTAGCTTTTTCTTTTCTAACTTCTTTCAAAAATTCTTTCTTAAATTTTTTTGAAAATATTAAATTAAAACAGTTTTTTTTTTGTCCCAAATTTTATATTCCATTTCAAAAGTAAAAAGTTCAAAAAGTTTTTTTTATTCTTGATCAATTTAATTTGAATTTACATGCGAGCAATAAAAATGATTCAATCAATAATCGATATTTAAAACATTTCATATTATTTGTATATTATTTCTGCTATATAAATTTAAGTATTGCATCAAAAATCAACCATAATTATAAATTAATTATCATTAAATTAATAAATAAAAAATTTGTGCAAAGTTTAATTATTAATAAATATTACAAAGTATGTTAGCTAATTAATTAAACATAAATGTGACATTTTATATTTATTTTTTTTGCTCAAAGATAAATCGAATTTTGGTATAATTTTTAAATATAAATGATTGAAAATGATTACAATTTTTATTACCTATTACTTTTCATTTTATTTTATTCTTTTTTCCTTTCATCTTTTTCGCTATTTTCATTTTTAAAAAAAAAAATTTTCTTTTTCTTTTTTTTTTTGCATTTTTAAGAATAAAAAAAAAAAAAAGGAGAACGAAAAAGAAAAAAAAAATAAATTAATTAAAATAAAACGAAGGTAGAAGATGAAGAAGAAGAAGAAGAAGAAGAAGAAGAAGAAAACAGCTGTTAAATGAGATTTAATTTTTCTACTTTTCATTATTTAAATAATAATAATAATAAAATTTAAAAAAATAAAAGCAAAACTCAAATACACATATATCTTTTACTAATTAATGCTTTTCTTTTTCTTTCTTTTTTTTTTTTTTTGATTTTAAATTTATCCTAGCTTTCTTGCTAACTTTTTTTTTTTTTATTTTGTTTTGTTTTTTTTTCTTGTTAAGCTTTTTAAAAATTTTTCCTTCTTTTTGTGGTTATCCATTCATTTTCTTCTTTATCTTTTCTCTTTACTTACTCTTTTCTTTTTCAATTTTTTTTTTTTTTTTTTTCTTTTCACTTTTTTTTTTTTCATTTAGTATAGTTTTATGTATTTTCGTTTCCTGTTTTTCCTTCTTTTTTTTTTGTTAGATTTTATAACTAATTAATTAAAAAATGAATGAATGAATGAAATGTTTCAAAAATATGAACGATAAAAGGTGGAAAGAAAGATGAGAAAAGTATGAGAGTTCAAATTTCATATTTTTAAACTTATCAATTTCAATTATCAAAGCATTACCTTCACTGTTAAAATATGTGTAAACATATTATTGTTGCTATTTCAACTTACTAATTATTTTCATTTACTTTAATATTTTTCCATCCGCTAACTTTTCGATTATTATTTGCTTTAGTATTTTCACCTATTCTTTAACTTTCAGATAAGATAAAAAATGATTAATATTTTGTTTGAAAATTTTAATTTGATTAATTAATTAGTAGTGTTGTTATAACTATTTTACATTCTAATTTTCATTTTCCCAATTTTTCTGTGAAATATTGTTTAAAAAAAAAAAGGAAAAAGAAAGAAAACAATATAAAATAATTAAAATTATTATCAACAATACAGCAATTTCTTCAATAATTCTCTCTTTTCTTTTAAATTATTTTTTTTCTCATTTTATTTTAATTTTCTTTTGATAATTTAAAAATGAATTAAATACATAAATAAGCTTAAATTGCTGCCATGAAATAAAAGAGAAGAAAAAAAAAATATTAATCTGTGGATTACTGCAGGATTTATTAAATATAATAAATAATAAAAATAATAAAGCATTTCGTAGGGTATTTTCAATTTATCAAAAATCAATTATTATTTTAATAATTTAGTTTGTAATAATATTTTTCTCTTCTTTTACATTATCAAATTGTGAAAAAAAAAAGGAAAGAAAAATTTGAAACATTAAGAATTGATGTAAATGATAATAATAATAATTTCATACTAATTAAAAAAAACATATTAATTAGCATAATTTCATACTAATTAGCTTAACTTCATACTAATTAAAAAACATACTAATTAGCATAATTTTCTTACTGACTACAAATATCAAAAAACATTCAGTAGTAGTGTTAGCATAACATAACACTTAGCTAAATTATCATTTTGTAAAACAAATAGCATAGTGCGAAAGTAAACAATCATTCATTAGCTTAGTAAATAACTAGCAAAACAAAAAAATAAATAAATAAATAAATAAATAAAGTTATGCCATTTAAAAAAATGTTTATTTAAATTGCATTATTATATATAATAAATAATAATATATTTTTAGTAAATATTTTCGTTAATTATTTATGCATTCTAGAAAAAATAAAAGAAAGTAAAAAACTGCAGAACAAATAATATTTTGTATAAATATTTACAGAATTAAAATACTAAACAAACATTCATTTCAATATTTAACTTACACTTCAAAGTTTAGCTTATATTTTTCAATGCTTAACTTATATTCACAATTTCATCTTTAGCTATCATAATTTCAATTTTTAGTTTTTGTTGAAATCATTTTATCACATTTTATTACAATTTTTCAATTAACAAAGTATGCCATTATATTTTATGAATTATTTTCTCTTTTTTACTAAAAAAAAATAAACAAACAATAAATACTAATGAAAAGAAAATATAATTCCTTGCATATAAAATTGATTTGAGGTAAAAAAAATTAATTTGAAGAAAAAATAAAAAAAAAAAACTGTGCTTTATTCAGCAAAAAAAAAAAATGTAAAATGCAAAAAAAAAAGGTAAAAATAAAAACAAAAAGAAAATTTTTAATTATATTTTATTTTTTCATTTTTAAAATTTCTTCTGTTTATATTTCCATTTTAATAAGCTTATAATACGAATTTTTCATTGTTTCTGAAAGTGAATTTTTAACAAAATAATATTTTGTTAAATATTTTCAAGCTAACAAATTAAGTTTTAAATCGAACAAATTTTTTTTTCATAGTCATTTTTTTCAATTAAATACCAGCAAATTCTGTAATTATTTTGCGTTTTGTTTTGTTTTGTTTTGTTTTTTTTATTTTATTAACTTTTTCAACATAAATTTTTTGTTTTTTACTGAAAAAATTTTTATAATTTTGAAATTTTAAATGTTATTTCATAAAGGTTCAAATTTTTTTTTATTGTTATTGGTTTTATTTGAAATTACTGCTTAAATTACATCAAAACAAGATGCTAATTTTTAAAGAAAATACAATAATATATTGTAAAGTAGCAAATACTATTATAATTTTAAGTTATAATATATTTTAATTAAATATTATTATTGTGAAGAAAAAATCTTTATTAAATATATATTTTGAAATAATATGAAAATGATATAACTCATAAAATAAATTAGAATAATCGATACTTTTACTTTTTGTCATTTCTTCTTCTTTTTCTTTCAATTTTTTGATGAAAAGGAAGTAAAATTTAAGAAAATAACATGATTGAAGCAAGTTATTTAGACAGTTGTTAAAGAGATGACGGATAGATTTTGTTTGAAATGATTTTACATATAATCAAATCATACATATCATTTGACATTATGACTAGCATCAAACGATGAATGTATTTAAAATATAACAATTGAAGTGGCCAATAATCAATAATTAGAAAAATTATAATTTAATTTATATGAATTAATTTTAGCTAAATACTTCTATAGATTTAATCACAAAGGCATTTAATAGCTAAATGCTTATTCAAAATAGATTTAAAAATTATTAACTTAATTATAAAATTATTAATCGATTTTTGCAGTAATGGGACAGAAGAGCTCAATTAACAAAAGTAGTAAAAATGTTGAATGCTATTCAACAGGTAATTTTAATTATCAATTATTTTCTCTTCAATTTCAATTTGTTTTTTTTTTTTTTTTTTTTTATTTAAATTTCTTCTTTCTATAATTTTTTGCATGATAATTGAATTAAAGTTTATGAGAAAATTCATTTCATTTCTATTTAATTTGCATCTTAGTAATAAAAGATTTTTTTATGCTAAACTTTAAAAAAAAAAAAAGAAATCATTTAAATTAATAAGCAAAAAATTTACTAATACTTCAAAGAAAAAAAAAGAAAAAGAACACAGATAAGATTTCTAAATTATAAAATAATAAAAGCATTTAACTTAATTTTCTGTTACAATAAGTTTAAGTTATTTAAATTGCTCGTAAAAAAAAACAAAATTATTAATTATTATTTTATAATAACTTAAATTATTATTTTATAATAACTTGTAATAAGCATATTTCCAAATGACATAAAATTTATACTATTTTCATTGATTAAATTTTAAAAATCGAAATTTTTGTTATTAATTTTTTTCATTTTCCCTTAATGTATATTTATTAAAAGTTTAAATTTTGCAAAATTTTAAACTATTAGTAAAATTTATTTATCATTAATACAACTATAAATTATTATTATATAGAATTATAAGTTAATGCTAGAGGTTAATGTAATTTAACATAATTTTCAGCAAATGAAACACTTGTTAATGAAAATCACGATACAAAGAGCCCTGCCGTAAATGCAAATTATAGGTAAAATTGTTGAAAAATTCTTTTTCCTTTTTTCTTTTCTCTTTTTTTGAATTATAATAAATATTAAAGAAGAAATTTATATAATTTAAATATTAAAGTAAAAATTTAGGGAATTTTTGTTTGTCAAAATATAATAATAGAAATGAAATTAAAAATTTTTGAATTATAAAATATAATATTCTATTTATAGATGTATAATTCGAGATTGCTTTGACAGAGCAACATGTACCACAGCAAAAAGAATTTTGATGAGAGTTAATCAACAACGACCTGATTTTAAGTACACATTCTCTCTCTCCCTCTCTCTCTCTTTTTTTTTAACTTTTATTTTTCTTTTTTATATAATTTAAATTTAAATACGAATAATTGACATTAATTAAAACAATCAATCATTGCTTTGACTAGCTTATTTCATATTTTATTTTTTAAATGAAAATGTTTTTCTTTTTTAATTGAAAAATATTTTATATTAGTTTTAGAATTTTAATTCCCTACAATATTTTATCAAGTTTCATTTTCATTTCTACTGGTAGCACTTTTTCATTGGTAGATAATTTTGTTTGATATTTTATTAGTAAATAATTTTTTTATTTACATTAATAGATATCAATGCTATGAATGAAGAATTATCATGAATGAAATTAAAATGCTATCATTTTTATCATATTTTATTTTTCATATTTTATCATATTTTTTATCAGATCATCATATTATCATATTTTATCAGATTATCATATTTTATTTAATTTTTAGAATGTACAAAGATAATCTTACACCTGAACAAATTGATTCATTAATCAATCTTTTGAATGATTATTTATCTGCTGTTATCGATAATATTGATGATGTTGAAAAGGTTGGTATAATTTGTTCTACCTTATAAAAGTTTTACCTTATAAAGCCTTTGAAGACAATAATTTTCGACAACATTTAATTTTATTTCAAATATTATTTTAAATAAGAAAGAAATATTTCGAAAATAATTAGAAATCGCAATTTTTATTCTCAAAAGAAAAAGAAAAATTTTCTTTTTTACCAAACATATTTGTAGCATATTAATCATTTATAAATAAATGAAGTTTTTCATTCCTTTTCCTCTTGTTTTTATGCAAACAAACTGAAAAAGCAAAATGAAGAGAGTGAAACTGTTAGGAAAAAACTTTTTATATTTTATAAATAATTTAATTAATGAATTATTCCAATATATAACATTTAGTGCTAATTTAATTAGCAGATCAAAATTTAATCCCAAAAAAAGTTGACCTTCGAGAGATCAATAATTCAATATTTAATTTTCTTTTTTAATTCAATGAAATTTCAATCAGTTAATAATTTTAAAATTTCAATACAGGTAAAGGAGCTTTCGATGAATTATGGTTTAAAACATGTCAGTTTAAGATTAAACGGTTTTAAACCTGATTTTTTTGCTGCAATGGCTGATGCAATTGCAACAGAATGTTCATTTTTAAGTGAAACAGCTACTACACATGCACCAACGAGTACTTTTAGAGTTATTATTTTATTTCATCTTTTTTTTTTTTAATTATTTTTTCAAATAAAAAATTTATTTAAAAAAAAAAAAGTCAATGTTAAAAGAAATAATATGTTGCATAAAGGTTAAAGATTGGAAGAAATTCAAGAAGTATGTCGGTTTATGCTTTTGCTTCATTTCAAAATTTAAAATAAAGAAAAAAAAAGAAATATATCCAACTCATTATAAATTTTATAGATAATTTAATTAATCAACAAATTGAAAGTCAAATTTTAATGATTTAATAATGAGGTGAATGCTTTTAAAACTTTTAGATGATGAGCCACTTTTTTTTTTTCCTTTTTGGTGTATACTTTTCTGATAACTATTTTAATATAGAATTGACTAATTTGTTGATAATCAATTGTTATTTTAAAAATTACCAAATTAATTAATTGTATTTTTTTAGGCTTGGACAATTCTTGTTGATTTAATGTTTTCTTCTGTACGTGATGGTTTTTATCAAGAATTACGCCGACAAAGACGTCAATCACCAACACATCTGAAAAGTTCACGTGAGTCAAGTGCCAGCACAGAACGACTTCTTGAAAATTCGGAAAGCAATTTAAGAGATTCCATAAAATCAGGTGCGAATTCTCGTCTAGCTAGATTTAGAATTCATTTCTAGCTGTAAAAATCATAACATAATATCAACTTATATGTAATTATCAAAGTATATCTAAAAGAAAAAAATGCTAGAATAAATTTCTATGCTAAATGAAACTAGAAGAAAAATTAAGTATTACTCGTATAACAAATAAAACGCAGAAAAATGAAAAAAAAAAAAAACGATTTACAAATACAAATTAAAATTTGGGCTAACAAATTTAAAGAATTAAAATTCTAATCAATTTATCATTTTATAAATGCTATATTTGTAGCTAATTTACGTTTCGAAAATAATTACTACAGCAATTGCGATCAAAGGATAACCGCTAGTAATTCATCGCTAACTAAACAACCATTTTCAAGCACTGATATTACGAAACAGGAAGTTATAAATTATCATTTAAGGTAAATTACTTATAAATTACTTAAATTACTAAGAAAATTATTCTAACTGAAAAAAGAAAAATCAGAAGTGATCGATGCATGGATATTTACAAACTGTTAGAATATCAAAATTTGTGAGCAAACATTTGATATAAAAAATTTTCAGTTATTTACTGCTCATATAAGTAAATGAATTAGATCCTAAAAAGAAAAAGAAAAAGACTTATATTATTAACAATTGTTTGACCTACTTATTTTTACTTTAACAACTGATCTATTCATAAAGCTATCGATTGAATATCAACAAATCCATCTTTGAGAAATTTTTATTAATATAAACTCAATATCATAATTTAAAATTTGAAATTAGAAGCGTTAATTTGTTCATCTCCTGAACTAATAGCAATGTATTTAGCTCAAATTTACATTTATTTAATAACATAATCAAATAATGCATAATAAAAGTTTTCCAATTCGTTAGTTAAATTATATTTTAAAGACCAGGAACTACGACAACAGCTGCAATTTCAAAGCCATTATTTCAAAAATCAAATTCTACAAACAGTTTTTTAAAGTTATTATCTGCAACATCTTCTGGTGAGTTTGTAATGAATAATTCTAAAAATATTTTTTAGGCTTTATTTTTATCTTCTCCTAATCCTTAATTGAAAAAAAAAAAGAACTGAATCAAAACTAATAGTTCAAATATATAAAAAATTTAATCCATAAAACTTGATAGCAACCGCATAATGTATAAAATGTAACATACAAACATTTCTATAGCAATTTTAATTTTCCAACAATTTCAATTAAATTTATTTTAATTTTCCTTATTAAAATCGAACAATCATCAAATAAACTCACATAATAACAAGACTTATGCAAGTTTTCGTTTTATTTTCCCTCTTTTTAAACAACAAAATTTAGAAAAATAAGTTAGAATAAAATGCCATATTTAACAACTGATAAAGTAGGAAAATTTAATCGATATCACAACGTACTACTGCTATTATAAGAAGGAAATTTATGTTTATTAAATCTTAAATACAATTTTAATTTTCATATTAGCAATATAACATCAAATTTATCAACTTATCCCTTTTACATTACACTGTTTCACTATCTTTGCTTTTTCATTATTAATTTCATACAATTTTAAATTGTAATTATAGATTTCATCCATATATTGAGAATATTTATCATCAATAACTTAACTTTTCCAATAGAAAAAATACACCTCATCTTTCTTTTCATCCAAAAATTTTGTTTCCTTTTCAGGTTCAATAAATGAGAATTGTGGCACTTCACAGATGAAACGTGGAGAATATATTATCAGATCACGAACACCAGTGAGTGATTAATTTTAAAAATTCATTCAAATAAAATATAAAGGTGAAGTATTTTTGCAAATAAATATAATTAACATTTTGTCATACTTTTTTTTCTTTCGTTCAATAAAGCAATGATTTTTTGAAAAATTTACTGTACGCATTACATAATTCAAAAATCTTTCCTCACATTCATAAGAGAAATTGAAAAAAAATATGAGATATATAGAAATCAAATAACATCATATAAGCAATCAAAAAACAAAAAACTTTTTTTTCTTAAACAAATTATATACAATTGAATCATTTTTAGATTCCAAATACTGGCCGTTTTTTTAAAAAAACTACTACAACAATTAATTCTGAAACCAACAAACATCAAACCTTCAAGTATGTTCCGTTTTACTTTCCAGATTTCATTTGTTTTTTTGTAGGAATTATTCACTTCTGCTATAATTGATCATATATATATATATATATTTCTTACAGGCAACTCTCATCAGATTCATCACAATCTGCTATACCAAAGTCTTTTGACCCAAACAAAATTATCGATGATTTCATGAATGACCGATATAATGTTTAATCCTAAACCTATATCCTTATCCGAAATAATTCTGAATTCTAGCTCAAATGTCTTAAAATTATTTCTTCATTACTTTTCCAGGAATATTCGATACTCTAGCAATTTCCTTAATTAAAGAAACTAAAGATTTATAGGAGTATCTTTAATTTCTCGTTCTATTTCATTATCTCTTTTTTTTTTTCTAAAACTTTAGCCTAAAATCTAGCCTCAATTTCATCGCTAATTTAAAAGTAAGGGAAAAATAACATTCTGTAATTACTATACGTTATTTAACCTGTCGTCTGGCACAAAATTTTGCATTTCCGAATAAGAAAATGAAAGTGATAATATGTGTACAATTGTTGCAAATTAAAAAAAAATACTTTGTTGTAAAGTTGTTGCAAAAGAGAAAAAACAGTCCATTGAATGATCTATCATGAATAACTTATACATAGGCACTTGGTGCTGATATTCGGTACATTAGATTAAAAAATTCATGGCAACCAATTTAAAGAATTATATATTCACAATCTGCTCCATTAAGGATAAAGGAGACTGCATTATTAATGTTTTAAAATTTTCCAGTAGTCATAGCAGAGCAATGAATTGCCTCTTTTTTATAAAGAGTCGGAAATCATAATATTTCCTAGTTTTTCCATAATTTCTTAACAACAATTTTAGATCCATTTGGATGGCTGCCACGACTTTGACAAAAAATCCCTGAGATACTGAGTAAAAAATAAAAAAGAAAAAACATTCAGAGTTAGAAGAGAGTCATTTCTACAAAATATTAATAGAGTCAGTGCTGGAAAGTTAATGATTATTGGGATGAGATTTGATTCTATAACTCATAACTTTGTGTGTCTTATTCAAAATACTTCCATACGAAAATATTTTCTGGTTCAAAAAATATATTACAGTCAATACCTATATAATTTTGGCATTTAACGATTCACTATTCATCCGAGCAAAGTTATGGACTTCTAAAACTAGGATGTAATAGACAAAGATCTCCAAAGCCTAAAATCTGAAAAATTGTTCAAAAAATGATAACTTTGTCATTCTTAAAATATATAACAAATAAAGGTCTCTTTCAGGACAGAAAAACACAAAAGTCGAAAACTGAAAACAGAGTTTTCATTTCTGAAGTAAGCAAAACGGATAAAACTTATAAACAGATAACACATTCATCCATCGCCTAAATGCTCTGAACATTTATGTTCATGTACTAAAAACGCCTTATAGGGAAAGCTATGCTTGAAAAAAAAAAAATTCACGATACTTACATTTAGAATATTTACAAAAATGCAAAATGATGTGAAGTATCCTAATTTCACATTACTAAACCACCATTTATGAATCGGCAGTCGGATAGTCCAACTTATTTTTGTGCGTTTTGGCAATATGCAAAAAATGAGCGATTGTTTCAAAAGCGGGAGCATCAATTGTCTCGAAATGTTCCAGTATACCTTCCAGTAACTGCAATTAAAACTAATTTTATGGCAGTGTCATATCTGGTTTCATATTTTCAAATAAAATTGCAATATTTTGCAGATTAAGCGTGGGAGAACATGGAATAAGTTGACCATAATACACATTTGTCGGTTAAATCGTATATTCAGCGATATAAAAAAGCGATCAAATCATTATGAACAATAAACTTTACTACTGTTCAAAGTACATTTAACCTGACTTTTGAGCACCTTTCGCTGACAGGGGAAAACATATTTCCATGTTAGGATACCAAACATCTATTCCAATCCTCACTTTTATATTTTTATGGAAAATCTAAAGAACTTCAAATATCCTACAGAAGAAAGCGATCTTATATACATGTATATATTAACTTCTTCGTAATGCAAAGAATACATACTTCAAATAGAAAAAATTCACGGAACATTTCCTAATCGTTATCGCATTCCCTAGTTGCCTTTATCATCATGCTCATCAAGCGACATCTTACGCATCTAAGCAAGCAATAATGAATCAAATGATAATAGCCAGTTGAGTTTGAATTGATTTAAATTTTAGGACCTGTTGTTTTGTATTGGTGCTTGAACGATGGGGAAGATTGAAATATTTTTTGTAACGTCGTAAAGTAGTGGCCGAAAGAGCATGAAAAGGTACTTGCAGAGGCTGAAAAAGCAATTTTAGAAAAATTCTCTCAGCCACCTTAAAGCCATTTTCACGAGTCATTTTCATCATATGTTCTATTGTTTTAACCATTCTTTACCGTGGATGCAAAAGTCTCTTCCGTAAACTCCCACAATATATTGAAATTTGAAATAAGCTGAGATAGGACATAGAATTCCAGTGCTTTCCTACTTCACCATTAGTTTTTTGGGACATTTTCTGATTCTTTTAAATGGGTATTTTACAAAGATAAAATACATTTATCCAGGAATGTTTATGCCAATCTTTTCTTCGTTCGAGTAACAATAAATACATCTAAACTCTATGAATATTCCATCATTCAGCACAACTTGTTTCTTGTTTTTTATTAAAATCATCCATCTTCTTATATTGAATATTATTTTATATCCAAAAATAAAAAAAAGGGAAAAAAAAGAAATGGAATAACAAAATTGCTATATTGAGATATTAACTAGCAAAAATCTTGGATTTTATCTTGCACTATAAAAAAAAAAGTTACAGCTGAAGTTGTTGGTCCTTCGCCTGATGGTGATGCATTCACTTCCTCATCTCCCTTCATAGTGTGAAAATTCGTGCTCATGAATGGCCAAATTCCAGTAAGTGCACCGATACTATAACAAATTCATGAAACTACATATTATTTAAAAAGTTCAGGAAAATCTAACAGTGTACAAAATATATGAGTTTTTCCAATCAAATATTTCAAAGATTCACAAACACACCTAGGAGTTTCATCATCGCTTTCAGCATCGCCACCACTTGTTCCCGGTCGTCCTTTCTGAAATTTGAAAGAGTTTAATCTAAATGGGAAAATTTCTACTTCCCAATCCTTAGAAGATAGTAAAATATACAAACCTTCTTCTTTTTTCTTTGCGTTTCTCGCGTAGCCATTAACTGTTCATAATCTTTCATGTAACTCTGAAAAATGAATATATTTGTAAGGAAATAAAAAATTTAAAGGAAAAAAGGAATAAAAATTTAAAAAGTTGAAAAGAAATTTTCAAAAAGAAACAACCGACTCTTGTTAATGGATCATTTTTGAAAGCTTGGAATTCATCTTCTGTAACTTCTACTGCCAAGTATTTGGTAAGATCTCTTGCTTCATACTTCTCATTAGGTTTTAATTTTGGTTCATGCATGATTATACGATAGTGAAATAAGCATGTATACCAATGTCCTCTCTGAAAAGCTTATTGTTTACTTGAAATGATCTCTTCCACTTATACAAAGCTATTAAGAATTTAAGATTCTGAGGATGTATGGATCATGGAAAAAAGATGCCCTTTTAATCGCATTCATCTTCTAGCTATTAAATACAAATCCAAAAAAAAAAGAAAAAAAAACTTAAGTAATTTAAGTAATCATCAATAATTCAAGCAAAAATATTAAAAATAATTACCCCTTTGTTATATGCAAATGGAAGATTCTTCTTCAGTGCCTTTTGTCGTAATTTATTGCTAAACCAAATCCCAAATGCTGGACGACCACATGCTATAGCTTTTCCACCAGTAAGCGTTGCCAAACAACAACATGCTTTTGCTTCCAAAATAGACTGATCAAGTTCAGACCAATTAGTTTCACCTGAAAAGAGTTTAATATCAGATAAAGTCGGTTTATTTGAATCGGTGTATAGCAGTGCAATGTATCAGTTTTGTATGCATTTGTATGCACTGTAAAGAAAATTTGCAATATCAGTGGTTTAATACTTCTATTAGACCTCGTTTAATTAGGCATTATAAGACTGCCTATATACTATCTTCATTCACATAAATTCAACACATTCTAAAATTATATAACTTCAAACCAATGTTGTAGATGAGCACTATAGTCTTATTTTATCTTCGATTTATTCATTTTTCTCATTCTACCAATTCAAACAAATATCACTCAATGTATTAACTAAACATTTTCTAGCATGAAGTAGATTCAACAAATTCAGCATAACATATGCTAGTAAACACTCTCTGCTGTCCACACTCAACACTTTAACCCAGTTTAATTGTGAAAAACAGAAGCATAAATCTTCAATGTCAGTCCAATAAGCAAATCTTTCAGATTTCGTTTTCATTGAAATCAGGAAGCCAAATTTTAAAATTAAGACTAAGATCCACTTTTTTCTGATTTGATTATTGCAGAGTAAGAAAATAAATTGCACCTGAAGATTCAGAGTCATCACTAGACGTTTCTTCCGCTTCTTCTTCTGCAACATCTGACTCATCGTCACGTAATTGGTGACGTGGCATTTCGGCACTTGGAAGTTCAGGTCGACTTATACCACTCGTCCCCACTTCATCTGAAATTTTTTCCCAAAATAAACATTTCTAAGGAAGCAAAATGACTTTCAAACCTAACAGTAATGATATTATAGATGAAATCTTTTAATATACATTTATTACTTAATCAGGACTCATTCTAACAGATGACGATAATGACTTGGCAGCATACCATAAAATTAGTTTTATTATAAGAAATCGTAACGCCAGCCATAGGCAATGCATTAAAAAAAAGAGTCAGATTAAATGTGAAAAAGTAATCAAAAGCTAATTAGCTTCAGAGAAATTATTCAACACAAATTAAATAACAAACATATCATATCAAAACATACATCAATTTTTTCTTAAATTAAACTAACCTGGAACATTTCCAGATGCAGTAATTGTAGCTGCAGCAACTGATGCTATACCTGAAGTTCCTGGTTGTTGCTTATATTTCTGTCGTTGTTGCTGCTTTTTTGGTGATTGCTTCTTCTGTTGCTGTTGTAGTTGTTGTAGTTGTAACTGTTGTTCTGCTTGCATTAATAACTGCAATCGTTTCTCTTCCTCTTCAATCTCACGTTGCCTTTTTTCAAACTCATCTCGAACACGCTTCTTGTACGGATAAGTCATTGAATTATTCGTATTATTAGTATTAGCAGAAGTATCACTGTTGGTAGTGGTAATAACAGCAGTAACTGCTGGAGTGACACTGATCGATGCTTTAGCCGCTACCGATGCCGAAAGTTTTGATTCCAACATCGGGCAAGACATCCTTATCTACTTTTTTTTTTCTGCCAAAGAATATTCCTGAAAAAGTAAAAAACACATATAAATAATGGAAGTGCGATCTAGATACATATAAATGAAACGATATGCAGTATAACGGATATACCATGATCTTTTATGCTATTTTTAAGAGCTTTTGATAATTTTCGAAAAACCTGACATATTTTATGAAATTAGATAAAATACCTTTTCTCCTTCTTTCACTTCTTTCTTTTCATTCAACTGTTCATTCCCTTTTGAATTAAATTACTATTAGCTTCCGCAATTCAAACTCAATTTTATTTGCCATGATACATACAAAAATTGTGCCTAGCTTGCAAAACTGCAAAAAGGAACAGTGAAAAGAAGCAACTAATTAAAACCAATGACTGCATCAGGCAATTAAACGTTCAGTAAACGATTTCAGGAACTAAAGTAAATATGTTTTCCAACCAATTTTACGATAAAACTGTATACAATCTCATTTTGTAATACATTTCTAACTTTCATGAATTCAAACAAAAAATTGGGTAGATTTCGAGATGAATTCAGAACTTGTATAACATTTGTTCCCTACCATTTAATTTTTCAAAAAAATAAAATAGGCTTAAGAAAGTGCTCAGTCTGCTCTATCTGTCTGTTCATTGAAGAGTTATCTTTGTACAAAAATTTTCAAAACAAACTTTATAGTTATCTCATTTCCTAATTTGCCAACTTTATATATGATCAAATTTGTCTGGAAAATAGTTGGTGATGAGGAAATTAGGAAGAACCAAATTAAGACACTGATGAAAACAGCAAACTTAATTCTAAGGTAAGTAACATTTTCCTCATCGATGACAAAACAAAACAATTTCCATAATTAATGGTAAAAGTAGGCAAGCAAAAATCAAATCAATATCATCAACGGTTTATGACCAGTAGATAATCAATAACCAAATATACTTAGTCAGCAGTAATAATAAAAATGGAAAATAATCAAACTGTCTAAGCTACTGCTCCACAATGACAGAAGTAAACAAAGATAAAAATGTTATGATCGATATCAATGGAAAGTGGTCAGAATCAATTCATCAATATCAATTAACAATAATAATTAAACTTACAAACAATTAAATAGTCAAAGTTAGAGGTAAAATTAAAAGTAATAAAATTTCTTTTTCTTTTTTTAAGAAAAAGTAAAGATTAAAAAAACAGTTATGAATACAACTCATACTTCTAAAACAAACCAAGTAAACCGTTATAGCACAACAAAAAGTATCAAAATTAAGACGTATTTAACGAGTCCCGTAAAATGTAGTCACGTAGGAAATGCAACCGGACATCACAGGTCGTGTATGAGTTAGTCATTAGTTCGTAATGTATTTCGATATTTTACTGGTATTTTACGTCTTGTTAAAAGATTCATTAATGAGTGTGAAGTTAGTGATAGCTATCACGTTGTTTTACGTTGACGTAATGTTATTTTGACGTAATATTCTCGTACTTCACGTTTGTCATGCTTATATGCACTTTTTTTTTTAAAATATAAACTGATACACAATTTCCATAATATCATATAGGTCATTTAGAAATTTTGCGAATGTTACGTTTATTCTTTTGTCTTATCATAGTGCAACGTTTTTCTGCACACACTGAGATGAAATTTAAAACAAATGTTATCTGAAATATAAACATGTTATAACATATGCGAAAAGATGAAAATATCAGAGAATTTGAATATTTCACAAAAAGAAGGAGGAAAAATTTATGGAGATGAAAAATGAGGTTTGAAAAGATCAGAAAACTTGAATATTTCAAAAAAAGAAGGGGCAAAATTTTATAGGGATGAGCAACGAGATTTGAAAAGATCAAGAAATTTGAATATTTCAAAAAAAGAAAGGGGAAAATTTATAGAGATGAAAAATGAGATTTGAAAAGATCAGAAAATTTGAATATTTCAAGAAAAAAGAAAAATTTGTAGGAATGAAAAATAAGATTTGAACTTATCAGAAAATTTAAATATTTAAAAAAAATAAAGAGGAAAAATTTATAGGGATGGAAAATGAGGATTGTTTGTATGGAGGATCATTCGCAAAATGGTTATTTCTACTCTTCCAGTTATTATGAAATTATTGCAGAATGAACATTTAACTTTAAATTTTCAATGAGTAAAAATATAAAATATTTATAGAGTGTTAGTGGATGGATTATTGTGTGCAATTTGTTTGGATATCGTTATTTATTCTTATTTCTCTGATAACAGAATGTTTTGCCATTCCAATGGCTAGTGTTACTTGCGGAGGTAATATTTATCTTCTTATCCAATCACTGCTGATCTCGAAATCATAAGTTATATTTAAAGATAAGTACGTCATCTCTAGGAAAATTATTATTCTCAGATGTTATGTTTGGCTTGCTAATTATTCGCCTAATCAATATTGTTTAGGAGATAATAAAGAGTAAGTTACGTTTAATAAGATGTTTAGTAAAGTGTTGGTGGCAAGAATGATGGCTGTAAATGAAATTTATTTTTTTTCCCTTTTTTTAGCTTGTACAATGATTGTAACGGAAATGGAAATAAAGATTGCTGAGTTGGAAGAAAAGATACGAGAAAAAAGTTATTATCGACTTAGCGAAACCAAAAATCATGGCATTAATGATAAGGTGATACAGTTAAAAATTTCAAAAAATTTATTTTCATGATGTTAGCATTCCTTCCTTTTCTCCATATGTTCCTTTTCAAAGTTTCAAAAATTCGTTATTATTTCATGCTTTTGGTGTTAATTTTCTGAACTGGGGAGCATAAGAAAAATGGTCTATGCTGACGAATTTCGTGACCGAAATTGTGAAAGAGAGAAGGAAGATGGAAGAGGAAAGGTTATTATTATCACGAGAATCAATTTGTGAAATTTAACAGAATTTTTACGCAGCCGGAATAAATTTCAAAACATGCATTACATGTAAACAAAATAATCATTTTTGTCTTTGAAGAAGCCATTATCGAGATCGGAAATCCAATTATCAGAAGTATTGGAGACAGTTTGTGTTAAAGCTGCCGAATGGTCAGCTGTGGTACATCCGAGAACCGGAAAAGGTGTTTACGCACGTCGTGCAACATTGAAATTGAAACAAGTACCTGAACATTTGACCATATATCAGTTTGAAGATGCGGTATGTAAGTAGATTATTTATGAACGAATTTAAATTTTTTGTTAAATATAATTTTAAATACCTTTTCTCTTCTCATTGTTCCCTACTTCTTTTTCTCCCTTTTCTCATGTGATAAATTATGGTTCTATAAATTCAACATGTGAAGAAGAATAGAAGGTAACAAAATTATGGCAATAGTTAATTTACATTATTACTTTCACTTCTGCAAATGAATTAACTATTTTGTCTGTTTTAGTGTAATGATTTTTTGGATTCATACGAAGATCAACTAATTAAATTCGCACGCAGTAAATATGAGGAACCAGTGCGTCAATTCTGCTATGAAACGATAGGTTGGTCGTATTGAAGTGTTGGTCACAAAATTTGTGGCATCTTTAAATCTTTTTAAATTCATATGAATGATCTCCATCTGAGTGCTTCACATTTAGCTTATCATTGGTTCTGCATTGGATTTATTTATTCTCTGAGAATCACAATTAAATTATCAGAGATTGGTCCAAAACTGATCAATGTTTCATTCAGAAGTATGTACAGCTGTTGATGTTACACCAATGACGGATGAGGAATCAGGAAAAGCTCAAATTCTGAGCGATGAAGAGAAAGAGAAGAAAGTAGAAAAAGCACTGGATGAATTAAGGAGAGATGCTAAAGGTTTGGATGATGAACTCTGAAATGAAATTTAGTCCATGTTATGCCATTATATTTCTTAAGTTATATGTATATTACTTCTTTTTGTTTGTTATTCCCATATATCTTATTTCTTTACTCAAATATGTATTCATATTCCATATGATATAATGTAATTCTCTTTCACTTTAATCTAGCTTTGATTTAACTAGGGATAAATTTCGTACTATATTTTCATTTTAAAATTATTAATTCTTTGACTGGATCATAATGCTTCGACTAATTAAATAAATTGCTTTTTTTAAAAAAAATTATCTGGACACTTATTGTTGAGTATCACCAGACTCAATAAGCCTTTTCCTAATAGCATGTGACATTTTAAGTGATTTTGTGAATATCATTTCCTTACATTGGCTAATTTCAGCATTAGATGTCCAACAGAATCCATTATGTATAGTTATTTTCTGGACACCAGAAGATTTTTCCTATAGTTTGTTAGATTTTTGAGAAAAATTCACTGGATTTTTGTATTTTTGTAATTACCAATCTTCTTTACCCAATAAGCGCTTTTCTGGCCAGATTATTTGTGGTTATAAATTACTCCAAGATTTTTTGTTTTTTGTTTTGAGTGACTTTATTATGGATTATTAAGTGATTTTACTTGTGATTTTATCTTATCTATTATATGCTTAATTTATTTATATTATAACTACTTTATAACTATTGTAATAGTTGAGCTTTACATATTTTACTGATCAAGATATTTCATGTATTGTACATACGATCATTCACATGTGGTTAATATTAATATTAATGGCTTGTTTTTCCAATCAAAAATGTTCTATTAAATTTGGATTCTACTGTTAGTAATTATTCGTCAGTATGACTTTGTTATTAGGCAAAAGTGTTTTTTTTTTTTCAAGTTTGTCTATAATTTTGAAAATATATTTTTGATATGATTTAACACTATTTGATACTATAAGGCACAGTTGGACAATGTTGAAAACCGACAAGAGCATGACATTACCAATAGTTTATAAAAGTTTTTCGAGTAGATGGAAATTTGATTTTTTTTTTTTTTATTGAAGGATATTGTCATCAATTTACATAGAGATCAGATCCATCAGACGCAAATGCTAGGAACATGTCCTATAACGGATGTTCATCAATTATGGAACTGGGATGAAAACATCATTCCACATTGTTTGATTGGTAATTCACTAAAAAATTATACGAGACATCGCAGTTATCCTGAGACATTGCTTTGTCATGACATGAAAGGAGGATATTTGGATGAGGAAAGGTAACTTCATATTTTTTTATGAAATAATTATATATTTATGATTATATATACATTTTTCTTCTTTTTTAGATTAGATGGTTGTGAAGTAACAGATTCAACAGCCCCATTTATATTTTTTCATTGGTGGTACATTGATATTTTTGTATATTTCTCACATCATTTCGTTACTATTCCACCTTTAGGTTGGATTAATCAAGCTCATATGCATGGTGTTATAGTACTTGGTAAGTAAATTTCAATTTACTCTTTTTTTTAAAATTCAATGTTATAGTATGTTATGGTTGCATGTATCGTAAATAATCCATGTAAGAATTGCTATAGTAATTGTCCAAATATCTTTGGTATTTGAAATTTATTTCGCCACTGCAAGCAAGTTGGAATTTCTATCAGTACTGTTAGGTTGTTAGTTAAAACTGATAATTAAAAGCAAGCACTGCAAGTCTGTTTTGGTATGATAATGAAACTGATGTTTGGATGCAAAATTTTGATTTGAATGGACTAAAGAAGATTGATAAAATGTAAAAAAGATTAGAAGTATAAAAAGGATTGTATATTAGAAATATATGCGAGAATATCACAAAGCGAGAATTCCCTTAATATTTTGTCAGAGAGGTTAAAGCGTGAATCTTCGAATAAAACAGTTTTAAATGAATGTACTGGATTTAATATTACATCGAATTAACTGTACAGAATTTTAAGAAAACGATGAAAGTTTCATAGATATTCGAGATTTAGTGGTAATTTACAATTGTAAGTACCTATATGTCGCATTTTTTTTTCTATACTCGAATTCTTATAAGCTCATAATTTGAAGTGTAGTAAGTTATTAGAAGCAACTTATAAGTACTTTTGGATACGAGTAAAAAGCGCTGAATGAATCATCAGTAATGTTAAAACAGAGAAAATGTAAAACTAATATTACCAAGAATCAGGAAATTTTGTTGAATGTATTGTTCTCTTTTCTAAATTTTGATTTTCTTTCATAGTATTTAGGGACTGTAATCACTGAATGGCACAGTGGAGCTGATATTTGTAAAGAATTTCTCAAAAATGAAGATAGTGTGACAAAAACGGTACAAAAGTTGGTGAATATTGCTGTGAAATATAATTTTGAAGGCTGGTTAATTAATATCGAAAATAAAGTAGAGGTTTGTTTTTGTATAGTTTTTAATAAGTAATAATGTTTTATTCCGTAGGAAAAAGTAAATGAAAGTATGACTTTTTTTTCACTTTTCTTATTACTTTTTCTCTAAAACATATTTTTTTTTTTTTTTTTTATTTTCAAAACTAGATCTAATCTTGACTTTTTTCATCAAATACTACATCTTTACAAATATATGACTCATCATAAGAGATCACTGGTTTGGAATTATTCAAAACGTAAGAAATTGAGTTGATTAATAAAATTTATGATAGTTGCAGACAGAATCTATCATGTATCTTGATTTGTTTCTGAGAATGCTTACAAATGAAATGAGACAAACAATTGGTGAACGAAGTCGTGTAATATGGTATGATTCGGTTACAGTAGATGGTGAATTGAAATGGCAAAATGAGCTGAACGACAAAAACCAGTAAATCATTTGTAATATTTCTGATCTTTTTTTATCACATAATGGTATTTTTTGTCGATTGATTGATTTATTGATACCTTACTGTAATATTATGCTGTATTATTCTAACTTTCCCTTTTCCGCAATATTATAAGAGAAATAGAATAGGAAAATTATAAATTTTATTATAAAAAAGAAGGTGGTTCGATATTACGGATGGTATTTTCCTAAATTATATATGGAATGTGAAACAGCTATCGACAAGTGCTATACGAGCTAAACATCGTCATCGGAATATTTTTGTTGGAATTGACTGCTTTGGCCGTGGATGTCATGGTAATTTTTCACTTGTTGTAATTGAACAGTTCTATCATGCGAAATTGTCTGGGACGAATAGTACTGTTTGCTTCAGAAATTTGTTTAATATTTGATGAATTTAAAATTCAACAACTAATTGTTGTTACTCTCTCATTTTCCTTTTTACATTAAAGAAATCGCTCAACGGCATCAATGAATAATACATATTTGAAGTTCAGCCTTGGAATCTTTGTTTTTATCATAATTTGATTATGTGAAACTACTCTAATTTTTCGAAATATCTAATTCTTCAGGTGGTGGTGGTTGGAATTGTCATGAAGCATTCATGTATCCCCGTCAAAATAATCTTTCAATTGCGTTGTTTGCTCCTGGATGGATTGTTGAAACAATGCCTTCTCGAGAAATCATCATTAATTCTTTGCGGTACCTTTTTTTCCTATCATTTTTTTGCGAACTAACATAACACGTAGGTCACGTATCTCTTCTCATCTTTTCGTTTATCCTTTTCTAATCTCATCGTTTTGCTTTCTCTCATATTAGTTAGACATTCTTCGTAAGAGGAATGTAAGAGGGAAAAATAAGAAGAATTTCTAACTAATAAAGTTCTAGAAAATGCAAAAAATTTCAATATAAAACATTTGACCATTCTTTTTAAAGGTACAGCAGACACATCAAAAATGTTTAGAATTGTTTAGCAGATGAAATTAATTTATAATATTTTTCCAAACATTTTTGCAGATTTTGGGATCGTTTGATTACATTTGTTCGACCACATCCGTTGACAACATTACCAATTGACACCGATTTTAGTTCTGGTTACCAATATAGGGATACTTGCAAGGCATCTTTTACCTTTACTTATATCAAGCTATCATAAATACGTTTCATACAGTCTTAATAGGATCAGAATCTGCTTTGAGTCGGAAATAAATTTGATTTTGAATTGATATATGACATTAATTGTGAAAATAGATACATACAAGTCTGTCTTAGCTCTGTTATTATTTTTCTTCTCAAAAAGTTTTTTTCGTTTTGTGTATTTACACTTCCTTGCGTTTTAAGCCAAATGAGTGTGCTTCTCTAGTTTCAAATTAGTTCACAACATCCTAGCTCAAATTTTAACAGAAATTAGCTTTTAATTTGGAGTAATAACTGATTGGAATTGTTAGTTACGCTTGGTCAAGTATAAAAAAATCTCGTTAAAATGGATTTTATATTGTTAGTAAATAGTGTTAAAACTTTATTAATAATAAAAAAAATTTATTACATAATTGAGTTTTTTATTGTATTAACAGAGCATTTTTTTTAGTACTATAATTTGGCGGAAGCAAAAATGCAACCTTTTTATTTGGCAAGTGGTGTTTTTCCAGAATCTTCTGGTGTGCATATCGTCCTTCAAGGATCAACTTTACATAGGTATTGGAACTTCCGATTTTAAAAAGTAAACTTTGTAAAATAAAGAAGAGATCATTACAAGGAGTAAACGAAAAAGTAAATTTATGTTTTTATTGCTCAAGTAAATTAGCCATTTTCAAAACAACAATTTCTTGTATTGCAATCGCTGAACAGTCATATAACTAAAAAATCTCTCGAACTATTTGTTATAAAATAATATGAAGAGAATCAAAAAATGACCATTACATGTCCTTTAGGCTATTTATGACTAATCTATGCTTAAATGGAGATTACACTGTGAAAATTGACTGCGATGAAGCTCTGCAACTTATGCTGTGGAAAAAAGATAACGACAAAGAGGTGATTAAATGTATTGAAGATAAAGTGGAAGGAGTAAAGAATGCTTGGAATTTTCATGCTATGGATGAAATTATCGTTGGAATTGGTTTACGTTCGCCAAATTGTTGTGCTATTT